GGTATCCGCGTACAGTCCCGCCAAATTTTTATCAAACACAATCATTCATACGCTAGGAATATCTATTACGATTTCTGCCTGCCTCGGACAATTATCAGGGTTTCGATACTGTTTGTAGCAGTGGTTACTTCATAGATTTGTTCTCTGCCTACGCAAATAAGAATATTTCCAGCTATTTTGACCAATGCTACATAGCCTAGCAATCAGTCTGATCGCGATCCTGACGTTCATTTCGTTTCCTGCCGAAATTATCAATTCTCAACGATTCTCTTAACAGAGTAGCTTAAAAATTGCCCTCAGACTGCTGTGTTTGTAGGTTGTCACTCATAGGCTACGACGAATTATCCTACCAACATGTTCAAAATATTGACAAGTATCATTGAACTACCAGCAACTAAATATCTTACTTGGCATGTCAAAAAAGTCAAAAAATCCTTTCGCATTCATTTTTGACAAGGGGCGGAAGCACTCGAGAAATAGCCTTAGTCTCTAGCAGCAATCTCCCACTTTCAAGGCTATCAATGGTTCCCTCTTTCGAGCGCGGCTTACAAGCAAACTAGTGGCAAAGTGGACTTCCCGGCAAAAGCCACTACCAATTTTACCATCGAAACGAATGAACGAATCGTAGAGGGATTGGTTGCCTCACTGGCGAAATTGAACCTTTAACCTACCATTGCGCGAAAACAGTGCTAAGCCACTGCGCCATGCTTTTTTGCCGTTGATTTGGCACAGTTAAACAGTTAAATATGTTACTTGGTACGTTGATATCACCAACGATAGCCTGCTGATAAAGACCAAACAGATGATAAGTGTGCTCATCGAATTTTATCAACAGCTCATACTCATTCTTCAGCTCTTTTCGTTGATCAAAGCGCGCTCGCATTCGTTTGTATTTCGCTACAGCATCGTGGAACCCCTGTGCAAAAAAAATTGAGGAAAATTGGTAAAATTCCAAATTTGAGGAAAATCATTCCAAAATTACTGGTTAGCTTACAAGGCAGTACTTTATTACATCTTCGACTGAAGCTTGCCCCTCTTAAAGAAATTTTGCCGTAATTGTAACACCTCTGAGCTGTTAAGTTGCAAGGAAAATTCGCAGAACAAAGTTGAAATAAGCGATTTTAGAAACAAATCCCCACTTTTTATGCGTTTTTTGCAGTAATGCAATGCAAAAAACGCATATTGACGAGGGGTTGTCTGTGT